TTTATTTTTAAAAATATGTTTCATATATTTTGTAATAAAAACGCATTTCATCATGCAGTATATATATATATATATATATTTAAATATATTTTGAGATATATTGAATATATAAAAATATTGTAAGTATTTCAAATATATGGCAATATATTTGGGAAGAATATTTAAAAAATATATTTCAACTATATTTTTCTTCCATATGGGGTGGCGAGTGGCTAGCACAAGTAGTGTTCCGCAGCCACCAAGAATTCAAAGAATCCTTCCAGATGTGCTTGCAAATCCTGATTGGCAGCCCACAAATTCTGCAGCACCCGTACTTCCCCCATTCACTGTCCAAACCGGATTTCAGGTGGAAACAGCAAATTCAACTACTCCCCTTGATTTTTTGGAGCGGTTTTTCATGAAAGATCTGTATGCATTGATTGTGGATCAAAGCAATTTATATGCACAACAATTTATCTCCGCCAACCCAGATTCTAACCTTGCCGGACCATTTGCATGGAAACCCATTACGGTTTCTGAATTTAAAGTTTCTTGGGCCTAACCCTGAACGTGTGCATTACTGAAAAAAAAATAAATTGTATTGGTCCACAAACCCGATTCATCATATCCCCGTGTTCTCTGATGCCATGTCCAGGTATAGATATGAGAATATAATGCGATTCATGCATTTCAATGACAATGCACTGTCGTCCTCGGAGTGACCCTGAACTTGACCGGCTCCACAAAATTTGGCCCCTTGTAAATCATCTTAGCACAAAATTTGTGTATACTCCCCAGCAAAACATCTGTTAAGTCCCTCATTAGTTTTTCTGGCCGCCTTGCATTCAAACAATTTCTCCCCAGCAAGCGTACCAGGTATGGGGTCAAAATGTATAAAAAAAAAAACTTGAAAGAGGGCAACTGGCTATACATGTAATTTTCGGATTTACGAGGGAAAAGATCACGTGGTGCTCCCTGGATGCCCAGACTACATGAATAGCAGTTGCAAGATAGTTTGGGAGTTAGTGTCACCCCTTTTTCAATACGGGGTACCACTTATAGGTGGACAATTTTTATTCAAGCCTGCCACTATTTAGACATTTATACAATTTTGTAATTGGTGCATGTGGCACCATGCGACCAAATTGCTGGAGCTTCCCCCCCCAACGGCTTGTAAATACTCATCTTAGAAAGGGGGAAAAATCCTACTTGAAAAATGATGAATTGCTCGCAGTGAAAAGGAAGGACAAACTGAATATTTTCGTCCTGTCTTCCATTCATGCAAACACGACCATCCAAATGTCCACGACAGCTGGTGTTGTTGAGAAGAACTTCTGTGTCCACTACTATAACCTTAACATAGGAGGGGTGGGCTTCAACCACCAGATAATGAAGCCGTACTTAGTTTCCCAAAAAGCCAGACGCTGGTACAAAAAAAAGTGTCTGTTTATTTCAATTGGCTCTATATAATGCTTTTGTGCTTTACAAAGCAACTGTACAAAGTGGATCCTTCCTAAAATTCCAGGAAGAGATCATCACGGCCCTTTTGAACCCAGAAAGTGCTGTGGCCCAAACCCCCAACCCCGATGCAGTTAGCCAGCTGCATGAGAGGCATTTTCCCGATGCCATTCCCCGTACCCCAACCCAAAAGGCACCCCAAAAAAGATGTGTGTCTGTAGCAGACACAGAATTAGACGTGACACCCGCTGTTTTTGTCCCTCCAAAGATTTCTTCATCTACAGTACATCGCTCGATGTGAATAGAGGAATCTGTGAGGTTCTTTTTTTTTTTTGTTCAACCTATGGGCTGAACGAAAAGAAAAAAAAGAACATTTCAAGTTTGCCCACCATTAGAAGTGGGTGGATACAGGGTGGTATATTCGAATGGTGGGCATACCACACTTTTTCTGGCAGAGATTTCTTCTCTTTTTTTCCCCCCATTCAGTCCGCAGGCTGCATTAAAATAAAAAAAAAACATAGCATATACAGTTGTGCTCAAAAGTTTACACACCCTGGCAGAAATTGTGAAATTTTGGCACCGATATTGAAAATATGACTGATTATGCCAAATAATGCTCTTTTATTGAAGGATGATGATCATATGAAGCCATTTATTATCAAATAGTTGTTTGGCTCCTTTTTAAATCATAATGACAACAGAAATCACCCAAAATGGCCCAGATCAAAAGTTTACATTCCCTGGAATGTTTGGCCTTGGTACAGACACACAAGGTGACACACACAGGTTACAATGCCAATTAGAGGTTAATGTCCGACATCTGTGGCTTTTTAAATGGCAATTCGTGTCAGTGTATAAATAGCCAATGAGTTTGTTAGCTCTTACGTGGAAGCACTGACTAGGTTAGATACCGAGCCATGGGGATCAGAAAAGAGCTGTCAAAAGTCCTGCGTAACAAGGTAATGGAACTTTATAAAGATGGAAAAGGACATAAAAAGATGTCCAAAGCCTTGAAAATGCCAATCAGTACTGTTAAATCACTTATTAAGAAGTGGAAAGTTTGGGGATCACTTGATACCAAGCCAAGGTCAGGTAGACCAAGAAAGACTGCAGCCATACCTGACAGAAGAATTGTCCGGGATTCAAAGAAAATCCCACAGGCAATCTCAAAAGAAATACAGGCTGCTCTGGAAAAAGACGAGTACTATGTGACATTAAAAATTGCAGTACCTATCATTTTATTCACTAGGGTATCTCCTTTAAAAAATGATATAATGTTTGGGGGTTCAAAGTAATTTCCGAGCAAAAAAATACAGATTTTTTCATGTGAACAATAAGTGTCAGAAAAGGCTTGATCTTAGGTGGTTAAAAGAGTGAGTGATGTCTGGCATTTTTTTTGGAAATTAGACACCACAAACTACTGAGGAGACATGTTGAGTCAATAGAAGAATTTATTTTTTACCACAAATTTTTGGAAGATGACAAAAAAAAAAAAATTATATATCTATCTATCTATCTGCCACATTTGAGAGACTTTTTGGCAGTCTAGCCACTTACGGGACCCTAAATACCAATAAGCACCCTCAGGCTTTTAAAGGGCTTTATTTCCTCATTACACTGCCTGACTACCTATCACGGTTTCGGAGGCAGACACCCCAAGGAATTTGATAAGAAGCATGGTGAGTATTCTGCAGATCTCGTTTGTTTGCCTCAAGTTTTAGAAAAATGAAAAACAAAATTTTTTTCTTTTTCAAAACCTTGTGAGAAAAAAAAGAGATCTGCAAAATACTCACCATGCCCTTTTTAAATTCCTTGGGGTGTCTACTTTCCAAATATGGGTCATTTCGGGGGGTTTGGTGCAATCCTGGCATTTCAGGGCCTCCTGTGATAGGTACTGAGGAAGGGAAATGAGGAATTTATGCACCATCAGGCTTTCAAAGGGGTCGTTAGATTTCAGGCTCCTGTATGTGGCTAGACTCCCAAAAAGTCTCACACAAGTGGTATCCCCATACTCAGGAGACGCAGCATAATATATTTTGGGGTGTAATCCCAAATATACCCATGGCATGTATGAGTAATATACCAACTTTGTGTAAAAAAAAAAAAAAAAGACTTTTTGTCATTTTACAAAAACGTGTGGAAAAAAATAAATCTTCCATGGACTTAACATGCTTCTCAGCAGATAGGTTAGGGCAGGGCCTAAAATTTTTCAAGTCCTGAGCTACTAGCCAGGCCTTAGAGTTACTTGCCACCAACAAACACACACACACACACACGTACATACACACAGAAACATGTACACACACGCACAGAGACACATGTACACACACACACAGGCACGTACAGACACGCATACACACAGATACATGTACATACACAGAAATACACACGCACAGACACATGTGCATACACACAGACACGTACATGCGCACACACACACACATAGACACATGTACAGATACACACATGTACAATTGTACATGCATACACAGACACACACACACACACCACCCCCCCCCCCAATAAAAAGTTGCAGTACTTCTTTCACTCACAGATCCGGGTACTGCACTCCAGGGGGAGGCAGAGAGCACAGCACACACTCCTTGCTTTGCTTTCACTGCGCTCAGCTATTGAGCAGTCTGACGGCTCCCAGTGCCAATGACATATCCGGCCTGAATTCTGAGCCTGCTCAGCAAGACGGCCCTGGGGGACACACTCGCCCCCACCATAATTTCCACTCGCCATTGGCGAGCAGGCGAGTGGAAATTTCAAGCCCTGGCTTAGGGTGTCTACTTTCGGAAATGGGAGCGTTTGTACTGCCCTGGCATTTTAGCACCTCAAGAAATGTGATAGGCAGTTGAAAAAGCTGTGTAAATTCCAGTATCTATACCATAGTTTACAGACGCTATAACTTTCACACAAACCAATTAACATGCAGTTTTATAGCGCAAAAAATAAAAACCCCTGAGGTGATCAAATACCACCAAAAGAAAGCTCTATTTGTGTGAAAAAAAGAACATAAATTTAGTTTGGTATAGCATTGCATGACTGCACAGTTACCAGTGGTTAATTTCTGAACTTGTTTTGGTTTCTTTGTACGTATGGATTGCATGGGTTGTTGCTGACATGTAGTGAAACTTTCAGGTCAAAAGCACCTATAGAAATGGATTTACTGTGTTATTGTGATGTGTTCAATACTTACTTTACCCCCTGTATATTACATGTTTTGACTGTACCACACAGTGCTTCATTTGGAGCACAGGACTTTCATACTTGTTTTGCTCACAATATTATATGCTTTGATTGCATCTCTTCATGTAAAATATTCAGTTTATGCGGTGGAGCTGCAAATGTTATCTTTTATATTTTTATGGATAAGGCTAACAGGACAACAGCCCTCTGGTTAAAAGTGGTGACAAGCTGTGTAATCAATGAAAGGAGTGACACTGATAAGTAAAGACCTAGATCTCTAGACATAATGTTAACTATGTCACTGTTTACTTTGCTTACATGTAGGAAATACAATGAATATTATTAATTACATACTGGTATAGAGCACTTACAAGATGCTGTTGAGCTGCTGAAACTGCTCCATGGCAGTGCTGCACCAGCACTGGTCCTTAGGGCTCTCACAACCAGCACACTCCGAGTCCTCTACCAAGGGGTCCTCAGAGTCACTCTCCTGCTCGTTCATGCTGCTGTCACAGTCATGACACAATCATCCCCCCTCTTCTTCTGCCTCATGTAAATCTTAAAACGTCCGACTATAAAACTGCTGAACCATGTTTTGGAAAGTCTTGGAGGTGGAAAAGAAGAGGATAGCTTTAAACATGGTGAACACTTTATCCCTCAATATCTGGGAATCTGAGCCATGCAAGAAGCCCATGTCTGCCCACCTACCCAGGATTTCCATGCTTTTTAGGTATGGTTCTAAACGGGACAAAAGGAGACGGAAGGTGTCCAGCAAGAGTAGTACACATTCCTGCTCTTCAACAGCATTCTCCTGCTGGTTGATGCCATTCCAGAATTCTGGAGCGATGTTCCTCTGCAGATCCATCTGCAAGACTTCGGTGAACCATTCTTCCACCACAGTATGCAGGCCACAGGCACGGAGCACATCTAAGGCTATTTTCAGATCGTTTTCCCCGATCGACTCATCAGCACCAGATCTAGGAGCAGCCTACAATAAGAACAAATAAAAGATTCTAGATCAAAAGTTATGAGAGGGATACAACAGGGTAAAAACAGTTCTGAATACTATTATCTGCCATCTGATGACTCCCTTCTCTCCTCACACTGCAGTGTCTAAAAGCTCATTTACATAGGCACATGGGGGGGGGGGGTAAAAGCAGGAGATTGAGCTGCAGTTTTCCTGCCCCTGGCTACCCACAGCAATCCATCCAAACAGGGCTGTACCCATTCAATGATGCTTTGCTTGCCGGCCAAAATTTAATGGCATGTTGCATTTAGCAAGCTAAAAAAGGACCCATTAAAGTGAGTGGGGCTGCCAGCAACTGTTGCAGTGGCATACAGTTGCAGTGGCTTGGCATTACGAGGGTTAAAGCAGGTGGTGAGGAGGCAACAGATCATTTCCTCACTCTCTGTCAAACACACACTGAAAAACAATCCACGTGAGGCAGACACTGCCGCACGTGTGAATGAGCTCTTAATGAGTAGCACTCTTACATTAAAGCAGAACTTCACTCGAAAGTAAGTTCCACTGGATCACTCCCTGCAGGAATCCCAGACACTGGTAAGTACCGGATTTCTAAAAGTCAGCAGCTACAGCATTTGCAGTAAAATTTTATCTTTAAAGCACAGGGCCCTGTATTCAATTCTTATCTGTATAGATTTTTAATGTCCTCCACAATCCAACAACATACTATCATGAGTGAAATAAGTAGGCTGCCATGGCCAACCTTAAAGGACATGTGCATTTATCCTATTTGTCCCTTCCCTCTTCAGATTACTTTTATCTAAAGACCACACCTGCGCATTACTACCCAATATACTTCTACAGGGCTATGTCCCGAGGAAGGATATGATTGGAGATGGCCCCACAGAATTCTATGAGGCAACCATCAGACCAGATTTCAGCTGACTCAAATGAAATTTGAAAGACCCTTATCCCCACACGTAAAAACGTTAAGAATTCAGCCTAAGGTCCTGAGCTGGAGACATGTCTTCTGGATACCAAAGAACCTTGGTACTCATGCTTAGAGCAGATGTAAAAGTCTGAGCATACACTCATCCCATCAAACATTCCAAGATTCTAATAATTGCAATACCACTCCAAAATAAAATATAATTATTATAATATAACCCTTATAGCATAAGCTCCACCTTCACCCCTGAAAATGTAAATAAGAATAATTAATATATATGCCACTTGATCAAATGTCACCCCACAGTGTAAAAGATTATTATTATACAGTATTTATAAAGTGCCGATAGTTCGCTCAGCGCTGTACATTACAAAGGGGGACAGAACATGTGACAGAACAATAACAATACAATACAAAACATGAGGAGATCGAGGGCCCTGCTCTTTCGAGCTTACAATCTAGGAGGGAGGGGATGGTGGCACAGGAGGAGATAGCTGTGGGGGATGGAGTGGTAGGAAGAGTGGAGGAGGTCGGTCAAGTTAGCAGGGGGTGGGGTAGGCTTCCCTGAAGAGATGGGTTTTCAGGGTGCGCCTAAAGGAGAGGAGAGTAGTGATAATCTGATGGGTTGGGGCAGGGAGTTCCAGAGGATGGGTGACACCCTGGAGAAGTCCTGGAGGCGGGCATGGAAGGAGGAGACCAGGGAACTAGAGAGAAGGAGGTCTTGTGAGGAGCGGAGTGTGCGTGTTGGGTGGTACTTGGATATTAGGTCGGTAATGTAGTTCGGGACTGTACGGTGGACGGCTTTGTACGTCAGTGTTAGGATTTTAAATTTGATCCGTTGCGCAATCGGAAGCCAGTGGAGGGATTGGCAGAGGGGGGTGGCGGAAACGGAGCGGCTGGAAAGGTGAATGAGTCTGACAGCCGTATTCAGGATGGACTGAAGCGGGGATAGCCAGCGGCGCGGCAGGCCAGTGAGGAGGGAGTTGCAGTAGTCGAGTCGTGATATGATGAGGGAGTGGATGAGCTGTTTAGTGGTTTCTGGGGTTAGGAACGTGCGGATTTTGACGATGTTGCGGAGGTGGAGTCTGCACAAGTTTGTTAAAGATTGGACTTGGGGCTGGAAGGATAGGTTGGAGTCCAGAATGACACCAAGTACTCTGGCCTGCGGGGGGCGGGTTTGATATTGGTGTTGTTGGATGTGATGGAGAAGTCAATGGGGGGGGGGGGTGCGGGCTGGGGGGAAGACAAGAAACTCGGTTTTGGGAGAGATTCAGTTTAAGGAAGTGGAGCGACATCCAATCTGATATGTCGCTCAGTAGGTGTGTGATTCGGGCAGAGACCGAGGGGGTGAGGTGGGGGGGGTTGAGAATGAAAGATAAATATAATTAATGAAATCAAAGTCCAAAAATTAATTAAACTGCACAAGTGTCCTTCAAAAAAAAGTCACAAATGTAATTTCCACACAATTGTCCTGACCAATGTCACCTCAAAAAGAAAGAAATTATAAGGGGATCCCTTATGAATAAGTCCAACGACGAAACGCGTCAAGGGAAGTGACGTCAGACGCACACGGGAACCGGAAGTGGAGTAGCAGCCATTTTGGAACGTGGCAAGAATCATACCAAACATTTTGGATGTTCTCTGGACGGCAGAGAGGTTTGGAATGTCGATTTTAAAGGCTGTTATAATGTGAGCATAGTAATAAAGTAGTTTATATGGTGTTTTGGCGATATTATATTATTTTACTCTTCATATATTGGAATCTTGGTGGAGCATAGTATGAAGAGGAATATGGAGTGTTTATGCTGATAACCCACATGACATCAAGGGAGTGTGGTATCCCTAAAGATCTCTCTAGGAGGGCTATCTTAATATCACAGTATATCTGGATGGCATTAAGGCGAGATTAATATTGTGTTTTGGTAAGGGTATTCACTCCTTACTTTAATTAGAAGTGTACACTGGTTTTGACACTTGCTTTTGTGGCACCTTTGAGTAGTTCACTAACATTTTTTTTTTACACTTATTTTCACTTAACAGTGTTCACGTATGTGTTACACAGTATAGTGAACTCACACATTGTTTTTGTAGAATTTATTTAATAAGGATAATGCACTATGTATGATTTCTTTCTTTTTGAGGTGACATTGATCGTGAAAGCCTTTGAGAGGCTCTGATATTTGGACAATTTTGTAGAAATCACCTTTATGACTTTTTTTGAAGGACACTTGTGCGGTTTAGTAAATTTTTGGACTTTGATTTCATTAATTATATTTATCTTTTACACTGTGGGGTGACATTTGATCAAGTGGCATATATATTAATTATTATTCCAAGATTCTCCTTGCTCAGCCCAGTGTTACAAGCTTCATTATTCATATGAGTGACTACAGATCACAGCATCTAATTCTCCCACTGGACAAGTCCCAGTGGCCTATGACATAGCTTGGACCCATCGAAAATGAACATCCTTACTCTTTTAAAGGAACCTGGTCAGATAGTGTGAAAAAATACAGATCAACAATAGCCTGTGGAGGAACAAAGTTTACACATATCTGTCCAGTGGCAGTAGTGCTAAAACAATGCTCTATTGCAGAACTCCAGGCATGAATACTTTCTCACATGTCTGGGAGTGCTGAATAGTGCGTCCCTTGCTGTGATTTATCCTGTTGAACCATAGGTGTCCTGCAGCAGAAGAAAGATCTGCGGTCAACAGGGAGACATGTGATTGGACACTCCCGGAAGTGTGGGATAGTATCAGCACTGGGACTGCTTTGTGAGAGCAATGTTTCAGCACAGTCACTGCAGGACAGGGAAGTATATATATTCTTTTACAGGTTGTTGGTGGCCTATTCTTTCACCCCCCCCCCCCCCAACAGGGTCATTTTAGTTGGTTTCTCTAGCTATTTTTGTTGGATAGAGTCAAAGCCTCAGAGATTTAGCCTCATTCACAGGGGCATACCTATCCATACACCCATGTAATGGGCTGTCTTCAGCCACCCAGGATACACAGATGATCTGTGCAGGTCCACACAGCAGGTCACCTGTTACTGACTTGAACAGGCTGCCTGCATGCCCCTCCGCACCTGTGCATCCTGGTTGGCTAAGACGGCCACTCACAGGGGTATATGTGCCTTAAATGCCAAGTTTCTTTAAGGGTGAAGATTCACCCACGTTTTTTTGACACCCACACACGCCCCCCTCCCCAAGCTTCAACAGATAGGGATGTTCTGGCTTCGCAGCCACACTGACCCGATATGGATCGCTCGTTGGGCGGCAAGCCTACCCAACGCTACACTTGCAAGTCAGTGGGGAAGCACCACAGAAACCCCGCAACCATGTGCGATGCTCTGCACAAATGGAGTTAAAACAAGTGGTGAGGAGGTGTTGCATTGCTTCCTCACTGCCTGTCAGTAGCCTCTGGAGCGTGATCCTAACAGGGATCAGGCTTCACATCTAAATCTACCCCAAGGCCCCTTTCACACTGCTAAGTGGGGGATCTGTCTGCTTACCCCCACTGCGCAGGTGGATGACAGAGCAGACATGGCCTTCTGTTCTCCATCGGGAGGTTGGATGTAAATGGACCACCTGTTCATTTACCTGTCATCTGATCTGTCAATGGGGAATGGATCCCCATCTGTCCATTTTTGGCGGATCTGATGCAGGTGGGTGGTCTGTTTAAATCCACCTCCTCCATAGAGAAGAATGAGTGGTCCGATTGGGTCTGCCTGAAAAATGGACTGGACCCAGATCAGGCTGAATACTTTAATTTTTCATGCATTTGCATCTGTACTGCATTTTTGCTATGTTTACAAACCGCACCTGAGTGCATCTGGTGTATGTAATGAGCCCTAATTCCAACCCCCACCGTGTCCCAGAATTCACTGTGTGCACTGAAGAACTACAAGTCCCAGAGGGTCCTGTCAGCTACCACCTGGCTTTTATTCTGTATATTAACAATCTGGAATGCCTGCAATGGAGACTGCACAGCAGTGAGCAGGGCATGCTGAGACTTGTAGTGGTCTAGCTATACTGCAGCCCCCTGCACAGCGCAGACCTCCTGCCAGCCTCCATTCCGCAGGGTTGGGAGCCTGCAGTCCCTTCTAGAGGAGTACAGAGAGGACACTGACCAGCCCCAGGGCGGAGGCAGGCACCAGACCCAGGCTCAGGGTGTTCCAGGCAGCGGACAGCTTCTCCGGGCTGCAGCGCGTCATCCCTCCTCTGCCGCCAGTCCTGGGCAGGCCGGTCGCACAACCGCACGTCATTGTGGCCCGTGGCTGATGACGTTGCAGAGCCGGGCTTCCAGTCTCCATGGCAGCAAGAAACGCCGGCCAACTGCGCGGCGCAGACATATTTTTTTTGATCACATGTGAGCCAATTCTGGGCTCTTATAGGCCGCTGACCGGGAAGTGAAGAGGAATTGGTGACGTAACTATAAAGTAGTCCCGTGAGCGCACCAAGAACTAACCGAACCGGTGGGCGCAGAGGAGCCGGGGCGAGATGAGCCAACAGGGGGCGGCGCTACAGACCTATAACAACGAGCTGGTGAAATGTAAGGACTGGGCTGTGTCCTCTGACCTCACATACTCCCCTGTTGTACCATGAGCCCCCCAAACCCCCTTCTCTGTCACAGGGGCGGACTGACAACTCATGGGGCCCCCGGGCAATAGGGGATCATGGGGCCCCTGTGTCCTTGCCCAAACTCAAAAAAGCCTATGAAAAAGGTACCAGGGGCATCTCGTGGGGCACCCTACTGACCCCGGGCCCTCGGGCAGTGCCCGAGTTTCCAAATGGTCAGTCCGCCCCTGGTCTGTCATCCACACCACCCCTCATTGTCTGACACCCTTCCTCTATAATCCAGCTAATCACAACCAGGGTGAGGTTGCTGGGAGCTCTTTGGTCAGTAAGCAGTTTCTGTCCTCAAGAGGGAGACCACTGACCACAAATCCCAATGTCCACAAATGTAAGGATCATTTTTCCCACCTACCAGGGCCAAAACTGGGGGGGGGTGGCACTTGCCCCCGGTGCCTCATCAAGGGGGGCGCAGCTGGGGGTACCACTCCTGCCTACACTGGGTACCGCTGCTCTAAGTGCCACCGCCACCCGATCAAGTTTAACCTCCCTGGCGGTCTAACTAATCAATATTTTTCAATGTCAAAGCAGTACATTGTTTTGCATGGAAATGTGTAGTTTTATATTGTAGCCTTGTAATTCTTAGGAATAACTCACTTAAATCTGTCCAAACAGTCTTGTAAACATCCCGGGTATGATGAAGTTTGAAACACAATATTACAATAATAAATTTAAATTCAATAATGTAATAAAACCAAAACACTGAAATTTGAAATATAGCGCCAAGTTTGCACATTGCTGAGCTCAGTCGCAGAATCGTTTTCAGTGTGTGATGACGAATTTCCCCACAAATGATTATCACTCAATTCTGCAAGTGGCTCTAATTCACTATCACTGTTCTCTAGCTGGTCTAAAACCACTTTTGACGTAATGGGACGTTTTTTGGATGCCATGGACATTTCTCAGTTTCCAGGCAGAAAGAACAGTAAAAGTGCAGGCAGGGCACAGGACAAAGCACTAGGGACAAAATGTATGTGAAATGGTTTGATACAGTAATGTAATCCTAACTGATTACAATGTATTGTGTGTATGTCATATTTTTACTATTTTGAATCTCCTGCCGGTTCCACCAAACCCCCCCCCCGTGTCTCGACGCTCGCAGGGAACGGAACCTGGATGCCGACATTGGCCGGAGGACACGGCGGGAGGACGTTGTGGGATCGCAGGACAAGGTAAGGATCGAGGGATCGCAGGAGAAGCACTACAGTGTAATCCCAAGTGTGGCTCGGGGTTACCACTTTTGGTACTGTAAATTTACCCCGAGCCACACTTGGGATTACCACTAGGAAGGTTAAGGGACAACCGGCACCCGCGGTAAATACCGGAGAAACAAGTGGGAGGGATATCGCACAGCACACCAGCACTGAATCACTCTGCCCGCCCCATAGAAAAGCATTCCTGAGCAATGCTTCAGCTATTGTTGCTAAGCAACAGTAGCCGAAGTGTCGCTCGGCAATGCTTTTCTGTGGGGCGGACAACTTCCTTGAAGGAAAAGGATAGTTTAGTTCCGCTATAACCGTCACCTCCTGTCCACAGGATAGATGCGGGAGTGCTAACTAGGGGTCATCAAGAAAACACAAGTGTTGAGGCCTCTCTGGTAAGTGGTGTCTAAAGTGTATATCCAAAATGCCTCATTTCTAAATAGATGGTTCTACTAATTGCCATCCCTATGTGGCTTCCAGACCTGTACAATCACCATAGGTGAGGCATTTTGAACATACAATTTAGACACCACCTATCCGAGAGACTTCAACACTGCTTACTTGTTTTTTTGCATTTTCTTAAGTCAAGTTGGGTACTGATGAGCTCTGGCGAGGACTGTTATTAAGAGTTCCCTATTTGTACAGGGAGCAAAATATGCTTCCCCAAAAAACATAGCAAGTTTCTTCTGTATTTGCTACCTAGGTCTTTTGTTCTTTTATGAGGTAGGTTGCTCAACTTTCAGCTTCTACTGTCTGATTCAGGTATAGAAGATCTGTGTAGCAAAAGGGATGAGCTGAACCGCCAGATCCAGCAGGAGGAAGAGGAGAAGAATAAGCTTCAAAATGACGTCCGCATCCTCACGGAGAAAACTGTGCAGAGTGAACGAGAGCTTGGCGAAGAAAATGGTGTCCAGAACGGAATTTGACAAAACTATTGCTGAGACACAAGCTGCATATATGAAGGTATAGTAGATAAGAATGACTCTTGGATATTGAGATATCAAACACAGGATCTGAGTCTTGGACAATGGGTTATGCAGCTTCCTTCAAGTGTCTAGACACTGGCAAACAGCCCAGCATTTAGCCCTGCTGGGGGCAAGCAGCAGGGTTTAGAGCCGCCTTCCACGGGCTGTCCCAATCAACTAGCCGGCACTTCTGCAGGCTGATAATGGGGGAGGCAGTGGCGGAACCCACTGCAGAGCATGCCAAGGACAGATCAGTATCTCCTCCCCCAGCAGGGATCAGGCAGCGCCCCAGTGTCCTGCTCACCCCCCGACCCCAAGGTAGAGCTTGCTGCAAGGCTTGCAGTGATTGGGTGGGACTCGAGTAGGGGGTGTGGCCAGCCTCGGAGGTGATCCTTCCTTGCCACAGGTGTGCTGTTGTGAGAGTAGGCTGCAGGACTGGTATGTGTGCTGTGTAGTGGCTACTGAATGGAGAGATAGTGATCAGGAAGCACATGCTAAAACGTTCATTGCTAGAAGATAAGGAGTGGACATGGTTAACACTTTTAATGTTGGCAGATGAGCTCCCATTTGGAAGTGCATGATTAATCACACTTCCAACACACATCTGAAAAGGTTAACCATTTCATTGCCAGCAGATCCCTGGTGAAATGCATTTCCATTAGGGATCGGTAAGCAGCACCTCTGCCTAATAAACAGTAACCCTTCATATTTTCTATCATGCAAAAAAAATATCAGGACAAGTAGATTGCGTCCCGATTTTTGTCCTTGGACAAGTAGTTTTTTGGGTTTTTTTTAATTTCCACACCCTTGAGGTAAATGGCTGTCTTTCTCTCTGCTCTGAGAGAAGCAAACCTTTTTCATTGATTTTGTTTATTTTTATTTTTGTCAGTCTGATTCTTCCAGCAAGTTACTAGCTACTACATAGCCCCTGTTGCTTCCACCTTGCACCTTGGGTGGCCATACCTAAACCACGCCTAGAAGAAGTCACGGGGCCAGCTCTAATGTTGCTTTCTGCACTGGGTTCTGTGTTTAGCACTCACCTCGGCACATAGTGCAATGCAATGTGTTGGCCACAGGGTGGTATATAGGTCCAGGGCTTTGGTCCATCTGCTGGTGGAATCCTGTCTCTGAAGACCCTTTGGGGATATTTCCACCAGAAAGGCAAAGATCTGGATGGGGCTTGGCCCTTAACATTCATTCTCAGCTAATGGAAGGGCCTTAAGACTACCACACTACATCCGGGCTGCAAGTCTCTTTTGCAGCCAGAAGCGGGAGTAGACTTTTTTTATTTATTTATTTATTTATTTTTTATGCCTGTAATTTTTTGCACCCCTTTCAACTGTGTATCCTGTGTGGGTCAGGCTGCTATTGCACTTGTGTGGCTTCTTTCTGATGGAGACCCACTACACATGTGCACGCCATTTTGTCTACACACTTGTGCGACCAGCTGGTTCTTCTGCCTCCAGCTTACCAACATTAAACAGCATCGTAGTCCTTGAACATTATGGACTTCCTCTGTTTACAGTGACTGGTCATAGAAGGCTTAACTTTTGTTCTTCTCCGCAGTACAGGTCTTTGAATACTTATAATATTATCCTATTTATACAAGGAATAAAGTGACTTCCCAAAAAACTTACAGTGGCTTGAAAAAGTATTCATACCTCTTGAAATTTTCCACATCACAACCAAAAACGCAAATGTATTTTTTGGGGATTTTATGTGATAGACCAACACAAAAGTGGCACATAATTGTGAAGTGGAAGGAAAATGATAAATGGTTTTCAAAATCTTTTACAAATAAATATCTGAAAAGTGTGGCATGCTTTGGTATTCAGCCCCCCTGAGTCAATACTGTGTAGAACCACCTTACCCAAGTCTTTTTGGGTAAGTCTCTACCAGCTTTGCACATCTAGAAAGTGAAAGCTCTGTCAGATTGGATGGATAGCATCTGTAACCAGCAATTTTAAAGTCTTGCAACAGATTCTCAATTGGTCTGGACTTTGACTGGGCCATTCTAACACATGAATATGTTTTGATCTAAACCATTCCATTGTAGCTCTGGCTGTATGTTTAGGGTCGTTGTCCTGTTGGCAGGTGAACCTCCATCCCAGTCTCAAGTCTTTTGTAGACTCAGGTTTTCTTCTGAGATTGCCCTGTATTTGGCTCCATCCATCTTCCCTTCAACTCTGACCAGCTTGCCTGTCCCTGCTGAAGAAAAGCATCCCCTCAACATGATGCTGCCACCACCATGGGGATGGTGTGTTCATGGTGATGTGCAGTGTTGGTTTTCTGCCACACATAGCGTTTTGCTTTTAGGTCAAAAAGTTCAATTTTGGTCTCATCTGACCAGAGCACCTTCTTCCACATGTTTGCTGTGTATCCCATCCAACTGCAAACAGGACTTCTTATGGCTTTTTTCAACAATGGCTTTCTTCTTGCCACGCTTCCATAAAGGCCAGATTTGTGGAGTGCATGACTAAAAGTTGTCCTGTGGACAGATTCTTCCACCTGAGCTGTGGATCTCTGCAGCTCCTCCAGATTTTCCATGGGCCTCTTGGCTGTTTCTCTGATTAATTCTCTCCTTGCCCAGCCTGTCAGTTTAGGTGGACAGCCATGTCTTGGTAGGTTTGCAGTTGTGCCATACTCTTTCCATTTTTTGATGATGCATTGAACAGTGCTCTTTGAGATGTTCAAAGCTTGGAATATTTTTTTTTATCATGCCAGGGTGCTAGGTCTGGATCTGAACTAACCCCTTGGCCCCACATCCAATCGCTGTCCAAAGCTTGCCGCCCCAACCTCCAACATCTCCAAGATACGCCCCTTCCTAACTAATGACACCAGAAAACTTCTAACTCACTCCCTGGTCATCTCCCTCCTTGACTACTGCAACTCCCTCCTCACTGGCTTACCTTTGTATAGGCTATCCCCCTCCAGTCCATCATGAATGCTGCTGCCAGACTCATCCACCTTTCCAACCATACAGTGTCTGCCACCCCTCTTTGCCAGTCCCTCCACTGGCTCCCGCTCACCCAACGAATACAATTCAAGATACTTACAACAACTTCTAAAGCCATCCACTACTTAGCCCCTAGTTACATAGCGAACTTGGTCTCAAAATACCAACCAAACCGTTCTCTCCGTTCCTCTCAAGACCTCCGGCTCTCTAGCTCCCTTGTTTATAGAACAGCTGTATTTATACTAAGATTAAATTACACACAGGTGGACTCTATTTACTAATTAAGTGACTTCTGAAGGCAATTGGTTCCACTATCTTTTAGTTAGGGGTATTGAGTAAAGGGGGCTGAATACAAATGGACACCAACACCTTTTAGATATTTATTTGTAAAACATCTTAAACAATTTAACATTTTCCTTCCACTTCACAATTATGTGCCACTTTGTGTTGGCCTTTCACATAAAATCCCAATAAAAGACATTTACATTTTTGGATGTAACATGACAATGTGGAAAATTTCAAAGGGTATGAATATCTTTTCAAGGTACTGTAGAAAATGTTTTCCATATTTACTGCCATAGGTGTTTTGTAGGAGGTAAGTTGCTCAACATACAGCTTCTACTGTTTTAATCGGGTATAGATTTGTGTAGCAAAAGGGATGAGCTGAACTGTCAGATCAAGCAGTACTCTCTGCAGCACATGTCATTGTGGGCTAACTGTGGGTATAGGATTATAACTTTTTTTTTTTTAAATGGTTGAACTGGATGGACTTTTGTCTTTTTTCAGCCAGACTAACTATGTAACCCGCGCAAAACTTTGTGGATTATAGGGCCAAGGGGAATGAGTCAGCAGACTGTGCCAGCTCACGCTCAGCTAATAGCTCAGTGAGGGTCTGTAGCATCCCCCAAAAGGCCCTGGTACTGTTAGTCCTGACTGCTGTACCCAGTTGAGTTGTTGCTCTCCTCAGACCTGCACTGCTCCTTCTGTTATATCTCTATTTCCTTTTTATCCAGGGAGGCTTTCTTAGCCACTTTGTCTGATGCTCTTGACCCTTTTAGAGGCCTCAGACCAAGTGGTCTCCTCTAGAGTCTTCCTGATTGTCCTCTTAAAGCTTCCATGCTTTCTGAAGGGGAGGAGGAGGAAGGTTCCCTGTCTGGTGCTGAGTATTCAACCTACAAAAAGGCCCAATCTGCTGATCTCTCCCAAGCTTAAATATACTATTTCTATGCTTATTGACATGGTTCACACACACGTCTTGCCTTGCATTATCCTCGGTCAGCCTAACCAAAGGTCATCAGCCCATGGTCCTTAAAATGGTTGTAAAGGCTAGACCTTTATTACCTTAATGCATCCCATGGTGCAAAATGTCCCAGTCTTTGTAGTGCCACCTTCAACCCCCCCTGTATATTTACTTGAGTCCTATCTCAATCCAGCTCTGCCTGTGTACAGTGGCTCTCTCTTCTCTCTATTCAGAGGCAGCAGTGGGTGCCATTGGCTCCTGCTGCTGTCAATCAAATCCTGTAAGCAGGGTTTGGACTGAGCCAAACTGTGTGTCAATACACACAGTTGTGCCCACATGTGCACCCCCATAGGAAGTGGATTTCTGTGGTGGTACATAAAGAGGAGGAGCTGAAAGCGCCAGTGGGGGACCCCAGGAAAAGGGGTTCAGGACCGTTCTGTGCAATCCCATTGCTCAGAGCAGGTAGGTATAACATGTTTTTTATTTTAGAAAAAAAGCCATTACAAAGGATTTAAAAACTCTTTCGACAGCCAAAACTTGCTCCTACAGCCTGTCTTTGGTGATTGGCCTCAGTGTGAGAAAATATTAATTTGTCCCAAGCACTTTGCTCAGCAATATCCTATGGAATAGGGGTTCTTTAAAAAAAAAAAAAAACCTGCCCCAGTTCCTGTTTTTAGCAAAACCGTAATGGTGCTTGTTGAGTATGTCCCTGTTTCCAAGGACTGTGATAGGTTTTGAAGCCCTTTTTCAAGGCCTTGTTTTTGGCTTGTTCTACTATGCAGCCTGCCATTGTGCCTATATCTGTATTAGACCCTAGCTGTCGGGTCCAGGAGAATGGCTTAGAACCCTGGATCTATTTTGCCAGATTTTGTCTGTCCTCCCAACAGCTGAAGCTCTTGCCCATGACCTTGCAGTACTGCATTGATGAATTGGTGTGTATTGAGTATATCTTGGGGTTTGATGGGTCTTCATTATACATTACTGATAAGTATGTTTTTACATACGGATATTTGATTCTATGTTTTTGGGGGGTGCTGCACAATTTATTTTACGTGTGAATCTCATTCTGTGCTGGTGAGCACTCGGTAAAAGAGAGGAATTGAAATGCAGCTGCACAGGAATATTTGTATTGCACCATCAGCAGGTTCACTGACTTTGCATGTATCCTTTAAGTTGTTTTGTTGATTTCTTCTAGTAGAAGGAACATTTTCTCATGAGAAATTTATGGACCTATTTATTCTTTCAGATCCTGGAGAGCTCACAGACTTTACTGAATGTGCTGAAGAGAGAGGCCGGTAACCTGGGCAAGGCCACAGAAGTACAAGGAAGCTCCAACACATAAACGCCAGTGCTAGTTTTTATAATGCATTTTGGATTGATATTGAAACTTTTATATATTGGTTTGGGTTAATGATATAGTACATTTTTAGAGTGTATTTTTATATTTAAAGCTGAAATCTGGCCTAAATAAATATTGTCTGTATACAAGAGCTATGTGTTATCTTATTATCCCATGTGTAATTTCCAGATCTGTGCAGTAATCAAACATACAAAAAAAAACATTCCGTGTTCACCTCCCCCTAATGCTTACTTGAACCCAATCCTGATCCAGCGATGTGCACAAGAGCAGCAGCTCTCATGTCTCTCCCTCCTTACTGGCTGATTAACAGCAGCATGAGCCATTGGCTCCCACTGCTGTCAATCACAGCCAGTGAGGAGGGAGTGGGGGGTAGGCTGAGCCATGCCCTATATGTCTTATGGATACACAGGCAGTTTGGGAGCGAGCATGCAAAAGTGCCCCCAGAGCAAGCAGCTTGCTCTGGGGGCACTCAGCAGGAGGGAGGGTCCAGGAGTTCTCGCAGGGGAACAGAGAAGAGGAGGATCCAGGCTGCTCTGTGCTCTTTTTATTTGATTGTGGATGATGTGGTTTTGCACAGCCACCTAGTGTCCCCCGTATTTGCTTCCTCTGGCCTAGTAGGAACATCAGAATAGTTTGTCATTTTTCCCTCAGGTCTTCGTGCCAGTTGCAGGGGTCTCTTTAAGTGGGTTGCTATTACCTGTCCAATGTACTAGGCTTAAAGCATGTAAGCTCATCATGCCGACTAGCAGTCTCCTTCTGCTTAAAAATAATAAAAGAAAAATATCAGAAACAGGTGAAAACAAAAATCATCTTGTTTGTTGCATAAAGGAGTAAAAATTTTCCATGGCAAACTTACAGTAATGCATTTCAGTCTAAAAACAGACCTTATTCATAGCTAGTTATATAAAAAATAAAACCAATATATAGAGTGGAACACAGCTGCCCAACCCACCATCCGTAATCGGATCAAATAACTACACCTGTAGATGCAGGAGACGGGCTGAGCTAACGTGCATCACTGTCCATATAAAACACCCAGTGAACATAACTCACAAACACATAACCACAGAGAAAAACATACACAAATGTATAGAAAAAAATCAAATCGAATGCACACTGGCATTTGGAAGTTATAAAAGTAATACTTTGCATATATGTCTGAAGACAGGAGCGAATAAAGTGGAAGATCAATCCAGATCGACATCCCAGCTGAGGATTAACCCCAAAGGTAATCTGGTCTGCAACTTGTGGATCCGCCATGCTTCTCTTCTTAATGATTTACAATGCCTATTCCCCCCTCTTGCTGACACAAACTCTCTCAATGCCACAAAAACAAAAAAAAAAAGTAACATTTCCTCCAAGAACTTCTTTAAAATGTGAGATGACAGAAATCTGTTTTCCTTGCGGGTTAATGGAGTCTCAAAAATGTTCTCCGATGCGGGTTCTAAGACCGTGTATAGTGCATCCCACATACTGCAATCAACATGATGTGCAGCATATGAGATACACCACATAGGTGGTCCCACAATTTATAACATTTCTAATCATAAAAGTTTCACTGGTATTAAAAGACTCAAAACTCTTGGTCCATAGATTCAATGAGTAATATCTGCATGTTTTAACACCACAGACATAAGAGCCCATGTAGGAAAGCCAGGTAGACTATTTCATTTTGGAACTAAAATAACTTGGAGAAAGAAGGTGCTCTCCAACTTGACAATCTACAACCATGCTGCAATACAGCATTAGACATGTGCTTTTTGTTCCAAATCAAAATTTGGATGAATTTTCCATTAAGAGATTCAGATATATCCGAATTACAACATAACAAAACAAAATTCGAATTGATTCACATTTGAAAACCAATTTGAATTTGAAAACAAGAATAGAATAAAAAAAAAACAGAAAATAATAGAAAAGAAAAAAAAAAGAATAGAACATAATACAGTAGAAAATAATAGAGTAAAATAGAATAGAAAATAAAGCAACAGAAAAGAATGGAATCCATTAGAATAGAAAGATTAGAATATAAAATCAAAGAACAGAAAAGATTAGAATAGAGAATCATAGAATCAATTAGAATAGAAAAGATTAGAATATAAAATTAAAGAATAGAAAATAATAAAGTAAAACTGAGCAGAATAAAGGAATAGAACAGAATCAAACAATAGAATAGTATAGAAAACCAATAAAGCAGCATAAAAAATAATTAACTGCCTTCTGAAATTCAAATTTTGAATGGAATGAATTTGAACAGAATACATTAGAATAGAATATAAAATAATAGAATAGATTAGAAAAGACTAAAATACTTTACAAAAAATTGGGAGCTGTGCTATGGTGACGTGAGTAGTGATCAACAAAAAAATTGTGAACATTTTGCTGAAATTTCCAATCTGGTCACGCAACTCTTCATATAGCCCATATACCATCAAAACGTTATGGATTGTAACGTTAGAACTATTATTGAATCCGTTAGAATTATTTTCAAATCCATTTTAAATTTCGAATTTGGTCAAATTCAAATAAACAAAATGAATTCTGAAAAACTAAACAAATTAAATGAATTTAATCAAACAAAATTAGTCAAATAACGAATCAAAACGAAACAAAACAAATGTTTTAATTTTGCACGTCTATACAGAATGTATGTCCATATCTGCATATAGAATCTGTAAATTCTTCTTAATCATATTAACAATACACTGATATTCTTTTGAAGAGGTAGTGACAAAGGTAACCTTCCTGTCACTTCCCTGTTTCTCTTGTCCAGATAAGTCAAATGCTCTCTTGTTCTGTATGTTACTTTCTCCCAAAAGATGTGCCCCATCTCTAGCTTCAGCAATCCTCCTGCCTCGTCCTATACACCAATTGGGGGAAACTCCTAGATATGTCTATTCTTAATCATTTCTGAAACAAAATGCACGATGAGCAGTTCCTTCACGCCTGAAAAACTAAACTCTCCAACTAGTATAGCCTTAATTTAATATGAAACGGATGACAACTTGTAACGAATCTGCACACGAAATTCGGAAAGCTGCAGTGGCAACAGAAACAGGGAAGAAAATAAACCTACTTTTTAAGGTAATTTTGCATAGAGCATATTTTATTATGACATGACACAGAGTGGTAAGCAAAACAAACGCCAATGTAGGCACATACAGTTGTGGCCAAAATTATTCAACCCCCACTGAAATTGAGTGTTTTGGCCAGTTTGACATTGCTTTTGATCATTCAGTCATCTTCCATTTATCATTAAAGAGGCACTTGTAGGTCAGACAAATATAACATAACAGTTATAATGAAATAACCACAAATGTCTTTTCTTCTTCACAGCATTATCAGTTTTATTCAACCCCCAAGTGACATTCAATCTTGATAGCATCCTTTTACAGTTATAACAGCTTTTGAAAGGAAGCATAGTGACACAAGTGTCTTGCAACCTTCCCAGTTCAGTCACATTCTTAGGATTGCCTGTTTCTCTTAAGTCCCCAGAGGTTCTAAGTCAAATGCTCTCTTGTGCAACCATGCTCCTTGGAGGTATTACTTTCTCCAAAAGATGTGCATCACGTTTCCATCCAATATCTACTGAAGAGAATTCATTCTTGCAATCCCTGTACCTGCAGAAGCAAAACAGCCCCAAATGCATGATTGACCCTCCACCATTGCTTCACAGTAGGCAAGGTGTTCTTTTCATCATAGGCCTTGTTCTCCTCCTCCAAACATAGCGTTGATCCATGGGCCCAAACAGTTCTAATTTTGTTTCTCAGTACATCATTTCTGGATTCACGTATCTTTGGAGAAGAGGGGGTACGCTGGGACTGGACGGAGGCCTTCACGCAGTGTTCTTATTGTCTTCACGCCAGATCTGACAAAACTCAGTCCACTTCTCTCCACTAGTATAGCGCAGCTTAAGTCGTATGAAACAGGTAGGTTGACAAGTGCCCTTTGTGGCAAACAAATGTTAACATCTTTGAAGCCATTGCCCTTCTGTGAAGAGAAATCACCTCTTCTCTTGTCTTCCTGGACCATTCTCTTGCCTTCCACATTCGGAAAGCTGCAGTGGCAACAGAGGAGTGACAAGATCAGGGAAGAAAATAAACCCTAGTGGGGCTTTTAAGGTACCACCTTATGGGTATTGAATAGAGCATATTTTATTATGACACAATTGATGTCAAAAAAACAACACCACACTTGTAGGATTTGGTACAATTCCAAATGTACACAAAAGTCCCAAACGCCAATAACCTTTACAATTGGGGGTTGAATAATTTTGGCCACAACGTACATAATGAATTCAACAAAAATATAAAGAGATAATAGCGGGCAAAGACTCTGGCTCGGGACGTGAGAACATCACGGGCAAGAGCCCTAAAACCCTATTGATACCATCAAAAGAATAAATCATCTTCAAACTGGTAAAGCGATTACAAACATAAAAGGTATGAAAAATGTTGGTAATTAGTGGAAATATCTAAATTATTATAGACTACCCAAATAAGGGACCATTGGGTGTAATTTAAGAAAGATGGTAATTCCACTAGAAACCAAAATTGCTTTTCCATAAAATTGAATCCAAAACTGAATAATCAATCAAAAGATCTGATGCGTTTTGTGGGATGTGACCCACTTCTTCAGGGAAAGTGGAAAAACTGAGCAACAATGCCAGTTGATGATAGCACGCTGTTCAATAGAAGCACCTGATATACATGAAGATCAGTAGTGATTGGATACACAAAGGGAGATTTTCTGAGCACCGGGGAAGAAGCCACCAGTCCAAGAATACCTCAGATCAAATTGGGTAGCAAACGCCAAGCCGTTGTTCATTCCAGATAAAAAAAGTATAGTGACCAACTGTTATAGGTTGGTGAATAAATACCTGTCTTGGTTGCTCCTGAGCAGTGAAAAGGCAGAAATGTTAAGAAGGTTAAAAGCAGACAAAAAAAAGGGCAAAATTTGCCCAAACAGATGCCCCAGTGTAG